CAAAGGTAATTATGTACTTAATGACCCCCACTTCGGAGGGGGTTGGGGTTGCAGATGGTATGTGAAGGGAGTCTGTGAAATACAATTTCAGTAGATTTAGCCGTCGGTCACCCTTCAAAAAAATTATATGAAGGGTTAAAATTTCGTGAAAACAGCATATTCCCAAATTCAACCCTGGTCAGTCAAAAACCGGGGTGTTCATAATTCAATCGCGGATTTGTAATCTACATAACTTTTTTTAAGGGGTGACCGACGGGTAATTCCTTCGAATTCATAAAAAGGACACTTAATTGTGTCACCCCTTACAACCCCAACCCTCTACGAAGTGGGGGTCATTAAGTACATATTTACCGTATCACTTAAAACTAATCGAGTTAGATATAGGGTTATGTATATATAAATGATCAGGATGAAGAGACGAGTTGAAACCCGGGTGATTGTCTGTCCGTCCGTCCGTCCGTCCGTGCAAGCTCTAACTTGAGTAAAAATTGAGATATCTTTATGAAACTTGGTAGACATGTTTCTTGGTACCGGGAGACGGTTGGTATTGCAAATGGGCGTAATCGGACCACTGCCACGCCCACAAAACGCCATCAATCAAAACGAAATAAATTGCCATAACTAAGCTCCGCAATAAGATACAAGACTGTTATTTGGTACAAAGGAGCACTTTAGGGAAGGGCATCTACAGTTAAATTTTTGGTTTAAGTGGGCGTGGTGTCGCCCCTATAAGTTTAATGTGCATATTTCCTAAACCGCTAAAGCTATAATAACCAAATTCACTGGGAGCAAATGTTTTTACCTCTATTGACGGTGTGAAAATGGGTGACAAGCCCGCCCACTCCCCATATAACGGTACTGTTAAAAAATACTAAAAGCGCGATAAACCAAGCACTAAACACCCCAGAGACATTAAATTTTTTCTCTGGGATGGTATGAGATAAGATAGGAACCGCGTTAAAATTAGATAGTGGGCGTTGCACCGCCCACTTTTAGGTGAAAACCCATATCTTGCGTGAATAATACGTTTAAAGTATGCCACCTTGTGACCAAAAATTGTCTAAATCGAACCAAAACTGTTCAAGCCCCTAAGTATTAAATATGTGGACCCCAGTGCCTATAGTTGACCTTCTACCAAAAATATCACTCAATCCACAAAGAAATCTCAAACGAGTATACTTTGCAAGAGTATAAAATGTTCGGTTACATCCGAACTTAGCCCTTCCTTACTTGTTAATATTTCATATTGCAACGACAACAAATTCATTCATAAGGAATGCGCGTATGCTACAAAACGAAGTGCAATCGTTTATAATTCTGCACGGCGCTCTTTTTTCTGTGCGCCTGGTCAACCAAATTTGGTTTTCATATGGAACTCCTACCCCAAATGCGCGATAAAAATGAATGAAATTGAATTTGAATGTCTTCAGTAAATTTCAATTTTACAATTTGTATCACTGAAAATCCTACCATTCCCCTCGCATTTGTATGTGGCCCACAAGCTGCTTCCTCACAACATTTGCTAAAAATCTGAAATTGATGAATTTGTCTGATGCTCCCTTCAGAAAGGAGAATTGACAACATGGTCTATTAGTGATTTGAAATATTATTTTAATTTACTTCATATTATTCACTATATATGGCATTAAATTATAAAATTTATATAAAATTGACATGTGTATGAAATCTTTAACAATTTCTATATATTCTAAGCAGACTGCATATAGTACTTTTATATGTTTATCATTATTTTATATTGTAGTTTTTCGATTTAACCCATTTTGTCTAAATTCAACGGCATGAAAATGCAACCCAATCGGTAGTCGTAGTATTTCAAAAGAGCATAAGTCAAGTTTCGATAGCAAAGCACTGTAAAAACGACAAACGCGACAACATAGCCGACTGACATTGTCGCTAAATTGTTTATTGGAACACATTTTGTCAACTCCACGACGATGCCAAAATTCGGCGTCAATATGTATGCGAGCTCGTGTGTTTGTCGGCAAAGTTGTCATTTGGTTTTTTTCAACGTTTTGTCAGAACTCCATTTTTTGCTCCGCCCCGTCTCCGGAGCGAACTCGACGTTACTTCCATTGCGTGCCATCATGGTCAGAGGCATCGTAAAGGGGGAGTAGAGAAAGAATCAGCTGATGGATGTCAACAAAGCTACAGCTGAGAGGGGTCCATGGAGAAACGTCAAGTCCGCCTGGGGGTTGAGTTTCTATTGACAGTCAAGATGGCCGACTTTTAACCGGAAAATGATTGCATCTTGGTATTTTCTTTTAATTTATGAAAAAGTTGCCCAAAAATGTTGATTATATGTAAAACTTTAATATGTTTTCAAAATAAAATAAGTTTATTTTAATATATGTTCTTAGAGGAGGGCTATTATTGGTAAGTTTTAGAGTAATTACAATATATATTTATGCCTTTTTTTAACTTAATAAATATTCACCACAGAAAAATGTAAGGTGCAATTAAGCAACCATGTCAAATAACGGGATGCAGAAAATGCTTATTCAACGAAACTGCGGGCAATGTTGATAAATTTACAATACAATCTTCGTAAAATAATGAATATTTAATATTGCTCCTGATAAAACTGCTCACACAAGAACTTTTATCAATAAGCAGGTGTGTATTAGTGCGTTTGACTAAAAGTAGTTAATAAATTCAAATGCCAGTATCGCTATTGAGCATTGCGTAACAGTGTTGCGCAAGCTAATTTTAAATTACTAGGCGTTATTTAGGCGTTTTCTGCTATGCGCAACCCGTTTTAACCCCTCGCTACCCTAACTCACCATGGCCGCTATGTTGGTTTTATTGTTGTTGTTGTTGTAGCGACAGAATTCTGTCGAGTTGACAGTCCTTGGCCGGAATAAATCCGGGTCCGTTCCGGTTACGTAGACCCGACTGTCGTGGGAACAGATGTTGGTTTTATTGTGAACGTACGCCTCAGAGGTGGCGAAACTATTGTGAATGGGACTTTCGCTACTCCTTTATACCATGGTCAGAGGCGTTTCAACGGAGGATTTGTATCATATTATTATATTGCTTAATTTGTATAGAAAAATACTGATATCTTAGGGTTTAGTTACGCAATAGTAAACACAACACGAACTGACCGAAACGGGGAAAATGCTAAAAATAGACACAAATAATGTTCTTTAATGATATATGGATGCGCATACCAATTTAAATTTGTGTTTTCAATTTCTATGGTATGACAAAATTTATAATTTTGAAAAGCCTTTTGAATTAATAAGGAGGATTACTGGTAGAAACCACAGAGTTTATATTAAAATAAACATTTTATAGTACATTTCATTGACATTCTTTGGTAGCACCATGTTGTAAGTTTTTATAAACTATCCTGCAAGCCATCTAGCGGTTAAATAACCGGCAATTTACGCAACAGCGCTGCCAGAGATTTCTGTTAAAGTTTCTATAAGTTTCTTAAGGCTTAATTTACAATTCTAGCCGAAACTCTTGTGTAAATGTGTATCCTTCTCTATCGCAAAGGCGTTATGAGTTGCACGATGTGTTTGCGTTAGTTTCCGCGATAATTCTTTAATATATTGGGGTTTGGTAGCCGTGACTTTCTGGCTACAGACATATTCTTAAAATTTATGCTAGGGACTTGGCATTCAACTTTCCAAGACGAGTTTAAAAAACTCTTAACTATCAATCGCTTTGACGTGATTTACATACAAATTTTATTCGTAACAAAGGTCAAGTTTTTACTATTAGTAATTAATATTTATATATGTATGTATATATTAATGGTAAATGTATAGTTTAGGTTCCCCAACTAAGGAGGCCTCAAAAATTGTTTTTTTTTAAATCGTCTAATTTTGTCGCAAATATTACAAATCCGAGAGCGGAAAGTGAATTTTTCAATTATTTATGTTTGTATTTACAAATATATATAACGCACTTTGCTCATATTTTTCAAGGCATTTAGTTGTTGTTGTTGTAGCGGACAAATTCTGCAGAATTCAGATCACTGTGCTGTAATTACCAGTTCTGCTAGTTAAACATTTTAGGTAAATGTATTGTTTAGGTCCCCCAATTAAGGAGGCCTGAAAAATTAAAATTTAAATCGTCTTATTTTTACGCGTAGATTTCAAATCCGTGAGCGGAAAGTGAATTTTTTCAATAATTTATGTATATTCTTCAAAATTTATTAGCACCCTTTGCACATATCACATATTCAAGTCACTTAGTTGTTGTTGTTGTTGTAGCGGCAAAATTCTGTAGAATTCAGATCTCTTAGCTGTAATTACCAGTTCAGTGTGTTAAACATTTTGTTATGAAAAAAATATACTGAAGAAATTTAATAGTCAAAATTTCTTTTGTGCCGCGTTTTTATGGAATGAATGAATATCGGAGATCGTCGAACTCCTGGGTGTTCATAATTCAATCGCGTCAAACTCCTTTTCGCTGCTTTCAACCTCAATGATAATTTTCATTACGATGCAGAGTATGTGTAATTATTAATATCACAATAAAAGTGCACTAACATTGATATTTTAATATAAATTTTCAGAAACGTTTATGAAGGAGAGGAGTAAATACACGAAAAACTTGAACAATATGTGATTTTTTAAAGAAAAAATAAAACAATTAATTTAAATGTATCACAATTTTTTATTTTTAATGCATATTTATAAAAATAAACGATTTTTTTTGATTATTTTTTTTGAAAAAATTAAAAAAAATAGAAATATTGAAAAAATTCATTTTTCACGGATTTGTAATCTACACGTAAAAATAAGACGATTTAAAAAAAAAATTCATTTTGAGGCTTCCTTAGTTGCGGGACCTAAACTATACATTTACCATATTAATTTATTATACCTAGCTTTATTTTGAATTACTATCAAGTTCTATGTTTTTTGGTACATGTATGGAAGTTTATGTAATTAATCTATAAAAAAAGACCCGGTAACCCTGCTTCGATTTAAAAATGATAAAAACTTGGCAATTCTATATTTGCCATATGCCTTGTTTTGTTAGCTTTGTGTATTCCATCGTTTATCTTTATTTCATTCGTTCTACTCAATTGGAGAATTTAATTTTTTTCCATTAGTAAGGCAAAGCTGCTTATTACATTTTAGTTTTTAGCAGAGATAAGGTTTTTAGGGACATATTGTAATAATTCATAGCTATGTGTAAAATCCAAACTTGCAGTTAAATAAAAAGGTTGCATATGTGTATTTTGAGCAAATATAAGTGATCGTGAATTCAAATTGTTTTTGCCTTCAATTAAATACCAACCAGATGTTTGTTAATAATTAGCGAATAAATACTTATTCCACAAAAAATACAAATTCCACAAATTATATTAGTTATGGAAAATGCCAACGAAAGTTTTGTGAATAGTGAAGCTGCGGAAATGAATATGTAACGAGACTGAAAAAATATATGTTTACTCTTAGTTTGGCTTGTATTCTATTTTTAAACATTAGTTATTATTATCGACTGGCCAAAGATATATGATAAATATACGATTAAAAAAGTGCAAGCCAGTTGCTCTTGGCCCATTACACTACTGCAAACCTGCAGGTTTTGAGTAGACAGCTAATAAATCAAGGTACATAAGGTTCAAGCGTAGACATAGCAATAAATGCATTTTATTGACTACGTTTTTAACAACAACAAAGTTTATCTTCGCAATACACGATTGCAATATCCAGTTTTCCCATTCTTCTAGCAGCTTAATAGCCTTCTCTCTGTCGCAGAAACAAGCTTCAGAAAGCAGCTGTTGCCTTTGCTGGCCAACGTTCTTCATTGTTTACCTCTGCATAAATACAACTCATATATGTAAACATCTATGTACATTCAGGTAAATATTAAACAAATTATTACCAAGCAATTACTTATTATTTTGAATTAAATTAAATTATTATATTTAATTAAAATTAAAAGTACAATCAGTTCATACCACAGGATATAAATGTTTTTAGTTTGAAACAACAATTTAATTTATTATATTACATTCATATACAATTATACATATGTATTTCTAATCCGATTTGCGATATGTTACTGAAACGATAATACTCGTTCTACAAACACATTTATAACTTTTGAAAATCAAATACATATACTGTGCCAAATAAACAGGTGATTTAATGCAATCGCTTTGATAAAACAATAATTCTTGAAATCATTTTTTCATGGGAATTAAATAATTGTTCAATATATACATAAATACTTATTGTTATGATACTGTCTAATAGCTTCTTGACATTATTAGAGAAATTCTTTGCTATACCCTAAACAGTGTATATTAAGTTTGCTATGTTGTTTGTAGCACCCGATGAGCTGAGTCGACTAATCTCTTCACGATATTGTTTAGATCAGACCACTAAATCATATAACTGCTATTCAAACTGATCGATCAATGTAAAGAAATGTACCTGTGAAAAGTGTCACAGCTTCCGTGCACCGAAGTTCACCTTTTTTCTTATTTTTGGGTATATTAAGCTTGCTATGAAATTTGTAACACTCAACCTGAGTCGTCCGTTTATCTTTCCTTATATATGCGAGTTTTTGAGTTATCGATCTGTAATTTTCCACATGTACTCTTCTTCCCAAGAAACTCCTCATTTGTAGGAACATTAAAAGCCTTACAAACTAATCGATCAAATACATTGTAGCGATAACTGCTTTATTTGGCAAGATATCTTTATAAGTTTTTGACTTTGCTTATTGTCCAGGACAACGCTACAATCTATAAATATATTGATCAGTTAAGACCTCTATGGTATGTTGGGGTCGATTTTGGATAGGTAGGTACTTGCTACAATATTCAAAGAAAGAAGTTGGCCAAGGGTCACTCTAGACTCGAGAAGCAGCTCGAGCTCTTCGTCTGCAATGTGTGTTGGTTTTACTCCAAGTAAGCCATTCACTGGGAGGGAGTTGGTAAAGTTGTTAAAGGCTCTACTGTGAATGGCGTTCATTGCGTATATGAAGTTGTTTGTGTCGGTAGTCAGGTCGGTGTATTTGTTCTATGTAATCGATCATGGAAGGATCTCTTGATGCTCCTAGGAGCTCCGTTTAGATGACCGCACGGGTGATGGCTATAAAAACATCCTAGTAGAAATTACTAAATTAAATTAGCAGGTTAAACTCCTACCTATCCAGAATAGACCCTGACATACCAAACATGTCCTGCATGCAATGAGTCTCCGCATGACACTAACCACCTCTTTGCATGCCCAACAAACCCCACTCATCTAACACCCCTCTCCCTATGGTCCGACCCCGTCGAAACAGCTCGTTTCCTGGGCCTTCCGTTAGATGACCTCGACGACAACGAATCTAGATTTTATCACCCAAACGGGGATTAGATAATCGTTACAAAAACAACAACAACAACATCAGTAGAAATTACTTAGAGCGGAGTACTTTTTCAACCGAAAGCATGCAGGCCTCACCCTGCTGTTCTTCAATGGGAGATTATAAGAGGCATTCTGTTATGGTACGAAGTGCATTCTTTTGCCACGTCTGAAACTTCTTCGCTTGCATTCCACTGACCGGCCGGCTGAATGCCTCGTAAGGTGCCAACAACATTTCTTTGCCTTTTCAACGGGTGTTGCTGACTAGCGACTTGAAATTTTTTTTTGCAGTTTCGTCATTCTTTGTGCAGAATGTTGAATCGTCTACCTGTTTCGCCAACTCCTTTGCCCTGCAATAATTTTACAGACAGGAATGCGAAAGATCGTGATGCGCGTTAATAATAATAATAATAAACCCAACGATTACTTTCCTCCCGCCCAACCGACGCGAGGGGCGCAATCCGCATACGTGCGGAATTAGCCGAGTCAGAAAAGGCAAGAGAGTTTTTTAAGTGTTGAGATCTAAAACTGCTCAGCTACAGAAACAAAATTTTCAACAGCTAAGATCTAAAGTTACAATATAATAAATTGTTACATTTTCATTTATTAAGAGAAAACAATAAAGTCTTTTTAATTTTGAAAAGTGAGTCAGATAAGTCAAATGTGCTGGAATGAGAATTAAAATCATGACATATACGGAAAGAGAGAGTGATAGTTGTGAACGATCTTCTTGAGCTGCTAACTAGCAATGGAATCCGCTGTCAGTGATATGCGGCTGGTATTGTTATCTTAGCCAGGGTAAGTTCGTAGACACTCTCGTAATATTGTACAAAGGGATTGGGGCTGGCAAAAGGGTGATGTAGTGGGTTGGCTTAAACATCAACCCTCCAAAAACAATCATACCATTTACCAGGCGCAGGTTACTGCCAGGGCTCAGAAACCTATCCCTAGGCGGCAGGGAACAGAGATGGCTAACACGGTCAAGTACCTAGGCCTCAAGCTGGATTCCACTCTACGGTGGAAGCAGCATGTGGACCTGACCTTAGCCAAAGCTACGAAAGTGCTCATGGTATGCAATCACTTGCTGGGAAATCATGGGGCTGCAACCCGAGGATTATCATATGGTTGTACACATGATTGTGAGACCGATCATAACATATGGAGCGGTGGCTTGGGTTTCCAAGCATGTTGTTGTTGTGTTATAACGATTATCTAATCCCCGTTTGGGTGATAAATTCTAGATTCGTTGTCGTCGAGGTCATCTAACGGAAGGCCCAGGAAACGAGCTGTTTCGACGGGGTCGGACCATAGGGAAAGGGGTGTTAGATGAGTGGGGTTTGTTGGGCATGCAAAGAGGTGGTTAGTGTAATGCGGAGACTCATTGCATGCAGGACATGTGTTTGGTATGTCAGGGTCTATTCTGGATAGGTAGGAGTTTAACCTGCTACAGTATCCAGAACGAAGTTGCGCGAGGGTCACCTCTGATTCGCGAGGCAACTCGAGCTCTGTGTCTGCAATGGGTGGTGGTTTGACTCGTATTACGCCATTCACTGAAAGGGAGTCGGTGAAGGTGTTAATGGCTCCACTGTGAATGGCGGTCAGTGCTTGTCTGAAGTTAGTTGCGTCCGAAGTCTGGACGGCGTGCTGTCTGATGTCGTCGACGTAGTCAAGGAAGACCTCTTGATGTTCCTAGGAGGCTGCTCCGCTGCAAGCGGCGTCTGCAGGGTGGTTCTGCGAAAACATCCCAGCAGAAACTGCTTGGAGAGGAGCTCATTATGTTCTTAACCGGAAGCATACGGGCCTCGCTTGTAGGTGTTCGATTGGGGACATCAAGAGGCACCCCGTGATAGTCCGGAGTGCAGTGTTCTGACAGTCTGAGCTTCTTATTCTGCGTGTCACTACATCCAGGCGACCATATTGCGGCTGCATAATTGAGGACGGCCGGCCGATTGCCTTGTATGTTGCCAACAACGTTTCTTTGTCCTTTCCCCATGAGCTGCCGGCAAGCGACTGAGGATTTTGTTGCGGCTCTGTACTTTGGCAGTTATCGCGGTCGTGTGAGGAGGTTTCCAAAGCATCGCAGACTACGGTAGGACTTCAACTATCGAAGCTGGAACGACTTGCCTGCATCTAGGCGTCGGGCGCGATGCGTACGTGTCCGACTGCAGCACTGGAAGTAATTCTGGAACTCACAGTGATCGAACAGACAGCCAAACAGACACTGCTTCAAATGACAGCAGAAGGATTTGGCAAAAGGAAGATAATCTCGTCTCAACAGATGAAGGTGCTAAGCGACGAAATGCACTAGCCCTTCTCCCAAGGGACAGCATATCAAAGCAGTAAGCTTCACTAGGAAGTTCAAATTACCCTTGGCAGTAAGGCGAATTGGAACGATTATACGCTGAACCTACTGCTAAGAGATAGTACTATCAGGTGGTACACCGACAGCTCGAAAACGTCGGAGGGGATTGGTGCAGGGGTCGCAGGACCACCAACCAAGCTCTTCATTCTATGGAAGTTTTCCTAGCATTTTTCAGGCGGAAGCATATGCTATAAGTCGGTGTGTAGAGATAAACCTCCAACGCAACTATCGCAATAAAAGTATTCCCATACTCAGCGATAGTCAGGCGGCACTAAAAGCGATCTCCGCTTTTGAATAAATTTGGTAAATGCTTAGATTTAGTATACGTTGATACCTCTGCAAAGTGTTCCATTATTCAGAGTAATCCTCTTGTTCTACCAGAGGACTCATATCATCCTGCTTTGGAAATATCTGTCGAAATCTCAGGCATTGTACGGGATAATAATCATCAAACTTCGTGCTTCTGTACTCGGTTTAATTTTGCAAAAGCTAATTTAAAAAAATTTCTACAATAACATGGCCTAATTATAATGGTGACATTGAATTGAGTGTCTCTCATTTTAATAATATTATTATAAATTATTTGAAAAGTATGTTCCATAGTAATTGTTAACAAAAACAAAGTATAAGTCGTGGTTTTCGAAAGAGTTATATAAATTGAAAACAGAAAACTCGAGCCTTTAAACATTTAAAAACCGTTTCACTTGTCGACTATTCTAAATATTCGCTATTGCGTCGACAATATTTTGACCTAAAACAAAAATGTTATAATAATTACTTAAATAAAGTTCGTTTATGATTTCGTCAACTCCAAACGCAGGATTTCCAAATTCCGTCCGCATTGAAATACAAATCTATCATTTCAAGTGACAATGATATTATCCAATATGTTTGCAGAATTTTTCAAGTCAAACTACTGTAATAATTCTTCCAAAATTTTTCTTATCAGCAAGTGCTGTGTTCGAATACTTTAATTAACGCCCCAGTTATTCTGAAGAAGACGTCCTTTTTAATTTAAATAAGTTAAAACCATCTTTTAGTTATGGCCCAGACATGATACCCTCATGCTTCCTAAAAATAGTGCCAAATATATTTACTTGCCTTTGACAAGGATATTTAATTCCTCTCTTAAACACGGTA